TCTCTATTTCTTTGTCTTTAGTTTTGCGCGCTGCTCTTTTAATTAAAATAATTTCTAGCTGCACTTTTTCCACGTGAAATTCCGCATAGCAGCAACAGCAGCAGCAGCAGACGACGACAACATAGCCGCTGTCATGTTCGCTTGTCTAGCAATGTGTTAGCTGGCCAGGCCCAGCAGCAGTCCCAGTTCCATCCCCAGTCTCTGCCCAGATCCAACTCCACAGTGCCAGACAAACAGCAAACGCATAAATTATGCTTTGTTGACAACGCAGCCGGCACTTTGAGGCTGAGGTGGCAAAGGTACAAAAACTGTGTACAACATTTCTTGGCAAAATAAAATGCCAAATTGTGCCATGGGTACTTCGTTTTCTTCTTCTTATTCTTCTGCGTGTTCTGCTGTCTCCAATGGACTTTTAATTGTCGAAACTTGCCATAAATCAGGCAAGCGGCTCGCGTGATTTGGACCTGTTCTGAAACATTTAATGTTAATTTCTCTTAGCCTGGCCAGCAGGTAACGCACGAATTCTTTGTAATCATGTGGCCTGCTGTTTGCCACAAAATGCAGCACAGCTGATGTCTCTTCATTAGCTTAACTGATCTAGTTGGAAGTGCTCGACTACGAGATACCTAATACCCAGCGCCAAGCTGACTTCTGAGCTGAGCTTCTTCTTAGCCCAGTCTCGCACTATTGGAGGGAAATGCGGATGCGAAAATATCTACTTAATTGACTCTGCTAATTATACCCCATTTTACCCATTTTCCATGGGTGCAGGGTATAAAAAAAGACTGTTTTTTGGCGAAAAGTGAGAAAAAAACGTTGCCAGCATTTTGGCTGGCAGCCAAATGGGCAGACAATCAGACAGGCATCTTTAAAGTGCGGCACAGACACAAGTTGCATCAGTCTTTAGCCACAGCAAGACCCGGCCCAGTCCCCGCCAACCCTCTGCCCGACACGCACCTCTGCTACATCTGTTTTGGCTGGCAAAATGTTTTGCATTTCAAATTGCATTTTAATCGCATTTCAACCTGAAATGCCATTAGACATAATTCGTTTAGCTGCATTTGTCGTTGGCCAGCAAATCATTTCGATATGGACAATGCCCCGCCCACATGTAATGTGCCCGCCCATAGATTGCGATTCACTTGAACACAATTGCCAACCGCACGTAAATCAACTTTGCCATTGATTTCGGCTGCTCCAACTGACAGTCGCTCCACTGGAGAGTCGACTGTGGACACTGGCCAGTTGTCAGTTGAATGGCTGCATTGACGTACTGTCCAGATTATGTGCATTGCATCCGTTGGCCCAATCGCAGTGCACACACATGTCAAATTTGTCATTTTGTAATTGATTGTGAGCCGATTGCAGCCGCAGTTGAGTGACATTTAATCAATTTATGTTTAGCTCATTTCTAATCAAACGACCGACCGTCCCAATCCCTAATAAAACAGTTTGCATCTCATTTGCCTTGGCACCTGCCCCACGATCTGTGCATCTGGTGTATAAATACACTAGGTACAGACATAGATCGTATATTTACATACAGCATTTGGTTGCATTGCAAGGTAAGTGGCAGACTTGTTGAAAGGCGGGTCAGGCATAGTCCAAGTGCCTTGGCAGCTAACTGTATCAAGTGTAACTCAAATAAATGCCACACTGACGACAGTCTCTGTGCCTACAGAACTTAAATAGCTCAAATCTCAGTGTACACTCACACACACACACACACACATCCACTTGCTTTCTCATTTATCGATTTTCTCAAGCATTTACATTGTTGAACCAAATCACAGAAAAAGAGAAAACATACAAGGAAAAAACTGTGCTTTGTGGAATTTGTTATACACTTTCGGTGTTTTGTTATTAATATAATTAAAAATCTCTGACGAATCTCCAGCTATTTTTTTTCGAATTTCGGAGATTACTTTTTCACCGATACTCCGCCCTGGAGAAGTTTAATATAATGAATAATTTACATATATATGTCAAATAAATTTGAAGTTAATTGGAGGATAAATAAAGTAATCTTATCAGTGGGCAGGACTTCAAAGATTCTTGAAAGCATAAAGCTGCACATTTAACTTTTGCTCTGCAATCTTTTCGCGATTTCCACCACGGATGGATAGATTTTGCAAAACGTGAAATGAAATTTCAGAGGGTCTTTGAAAATAAGTATGAAGCTGATTGGATGGTCAGCAAAAGTGTCTTCCAATCGTTTTCCGCCTATTTTTAACACTTGCGGGTGGAATTTAAAAAACAACTTCTGAGCGTTTAGAACTGGAATCCTGATCTGGAATACATTTTTATATAAACTGGGGAAGCACAACAGTTTAAAAATACATAATTATGACATTTTTTGCTTAAATAATATGTAAGACAAGCTTTCCTCCGGGAGCTACCAATTGGCGAGCAAGTAATAACACAATTTAGGAATCCGTTCTGATCGAATGTAGCTATATACTTTTTTATATCAAACTGGCGGTTGTACAATCTATTCAGATATACATATATATATATTTTATGCCTACTTAAATGTGTTTCATATTTGACAACAAAATCGTAATACTCTCTGCATAATATATATTTACTCTGACTGACCCTGAGAGTGCGATGCTGCTGCGAAGACCGACGACCGAAGACGACGCGCCAAGCGAATTTGTGCGCTTGAGTGCGTGCATAAATTTCTGGTGCTTTTTGCTGGCTATTATTTACATTACACACACACGCACACACACATACAGCTTTACAGCTGTACGAAAAACTCAATTTCCTGCGACGGACACAGGCACATCAAATGCTTTACGGCCGCGCGTTGGCTATCCCTGCTGCCGCCAGCTCACCCCTCAACTCCCAGAGCATACCCAAACCCACTGCAGCACACATCTCCAGCTGAACGTTTGCACACGTTGTGGCACGACACCCACTTTGGCCACCACCGCGTTGACCTCGCTGGGCTCGTCTGGGAGCGTCTGCCGCCTTGGCTGCTACGTTTTTCATATTTCGCATGTAATGTGTGTAATCAAAGTAACAAAATCCAAATCATATTTCCTTCATTGACCACAAAATGTGTGAGTGCGTCTCAGGCAACCCTTTTTAGCCTGTGCATAAAACATTTTGTTAGATTTCCACAATCAACGTTGCCTTACAGCCAACATTTCTTAACCTTGTTTGATTTTTATTCCATTTATTTCCTATTTTTTTTATTTTGTATGCTGGGCAAAATTATTGGTCTGCGCATATGTAATCATCTCTGTGGGGCTGTGAGCGCACAGGACGCATCATAAAGTGCACACAATCAAAATGAAATACGTTTTAGGTACGTTTTCATCTACACTCGACTGGGCAGAGCCGACTACGCAATGAGCTACCTATGACGATGATTGGTGGTCAGGCTTGCTTTACATTTAAAACAAATAAATATCTTTTCATTTTAAAATCAATTTTCTACTCATTCTATTTCTTTTAGGGTATTTTCCATAATCACTTGATCCAAAAGTGTAAAACAAGGCTCGAAATAATTTGTATTAGAAAACTTTATGTGGATTTTGCGAAACGTGTGAAAAAATATGTCTAATGAGTTTTCCCAAAGATCTTTGAAAAAATAAATAAATCTGATAGGATGGTAAGCAAATAAATAGTCCAAAACTGTTTTCCCCCAATTTTCCATAGTTGCAGGTGGAATTTTACGTCACTTAAGATTTTCAGCTTCAGTCATTCGTAGCTAAGAGTTTTATACACAAAGATTAAATTTTTACAGTATTTCAAATCATTTTCAATTGTAGCGCATTGAAAGGTTTGCTATGCCGATAAAATTGGTTGGTTGTCGCACGGCGTTTCGCATATGTTGGCAATTTTTTATTTATCGATGAGGTCGCTTTATTGAAAGGTGTTTGGTTGCGCACGAATGCTCAGGAGTAGAAGGGTTTGTGGAACAAGGACTGTAGCCGTTGGCCATTTTAGTTGCGCCTTTTGCAAAACTTTAATAAGAAATCTTTTGAGCAGAGCTGCATATCATGTTGCAAGCTGGCGAAAACTTTTCGCAAACTCAAAAATTTTCTCATTTGTGGTCAAGCTAAAGTTTTATTTGAGTTTCACAGTTTCGTTTGCGAAATTCAATTAAATCTACGCATTATGCACGCTGCACTGCACAGCACAAGCCGAACCTTTCGGCTAGCCAAATACCCTTCCCCCATGCAAGCTGCCTGCTCAATGCAAATAGTGCCCCCGCACAAAAGGTGCGCCGAGTGGATTGTAAACAAATTATCAAAAAAGCGCCCAGTCAGCAGGCGACTAAGGATGAGGCTGGAGCTGGATTTAATCGCTGACAGGGTGAACACGCACACGTTTCTCGGTGGTAAGCGCCAGTTCATTATTAAAACTTTTAAAAGCAGATAAGTGCACAGACTGATAGAGATGCTGACACTGATACACACACCTACACCTACTCACCCACACACACACGCACATACACACTGGTTAACTGAGAACGATAACGATAACCTAAGCAGCAGGCGGCAGCCACCACGTTGGCAACGTGGGCGCCACTTCACCTCTAATTGAAACATTAAGTTGCACATCACGTACGCGGTGTCAGACACTAGACGCCAGCTGGACCGACGGTGGGGGCGGGGTGCTGGGGTGGGAGGTCGGCGCCTAGGAGTATGCTAAAATTTTGCTGCGGCTGCGACTGCGGTTGCTTGGGTTTTACCTAGCCCCAAATAACCCAAATGCCCAAAAGCAAGCAAGCGAGCGATCTACCGAGCGACTATCAACCACTCAGCACTTTATTTTTTTCCGTGTTGGCATTTTAAAAAGCATTTAAGCCACCGACAAGATGTCGGGTAGTTGGGCTGGTAGCGGGTTTTCGTTAAGTGTGTAAAGTGATTACGCCGGAAATTTGTTTGTCTATGAGTCTGCATACGTGTCGGATGGCTAAAGGAGTTTGTGTCCATGTTTCCGCATTTGAAGTGACATCAGCAGGAGTTCGAGCAGGCCGAAAGTTCGCACTAAATGATATGTTTATTGGTAGTTTAAAAGTTTGAAATGATGAAAAGTTATTTTAGAACATCAGTCAAATTCATTTGGTACTATCCCGGAGACAAGGTCGAGCAAAGTGCTGCAGGCGTTCGTCTATCCATTGGGTCATTACTGTCAAGGAATTGTGCATTAATAGTAAAAAACAAATAAAAAGAATTGTAAAATATAACTCCACTTGGAGCCCACTAGAACTGGACAGGCTCTATGCAGGGTTCTCTTATTGCCTGTTCCATTGCGATGCAAATTGTGCCAGAAAAGAGCCTTTCCGCGCCTCGATTTGAGCCCTTTCACTTAACAGATCTGCATTGTCTGTTTTGTTGCCCTTCATCAGAGCGTGGTCAAAGAGGGGCAGCGCGATTGTGTAATCCTCTTTGCAAGGAAAACACTAGAGTTATCAGAATGGTTTTATTAGGTATTTCATGGGCTTACTCTGTTTGATAAATGCCCTGGCAAAGATTTGCAGCACTTGTTCACGTTCGGCTCCCATTGGTATTGGGAGTGTGTGCTCCATTAGCGACTAGCTTGTCTCCGCAAGCCACTCGCTGGCCAAATCACGAATTTGAATCTGGTCCAGGTACTGGCCCATCGCGTAGGTATCCAAGGCTCCTAGACTGGCGCTAGAGATGGCATCCAACTAGTTACGGTTGTTTTCAGTTAGTTCGCACATCACTTACTCGTATTGCCTCCCGTTCAGCAGCCCGCTGGCAATATCCTTCACAGTCAAGTTGTAAAAATCATACAGCCGGTGCAAGCCTTGCAATTGTGGAATGACCCTGAAGACATGCAAAGCTGTACCTCATACTTTAAACGCACTGCACTTTATAGGCTTACCTTTTCAAGATATTCAATTTCTTCTAGAGCTCATCCGCATAGCTGCTTAGATTCTCAATAAGCTTGGTTTCCAGCAGCACCAAGTTCACCATACATAAGACGGAGGTGCTGTAGCTTTGCTCCGCGGCTTCAACCTTTATCGGGCATAGGATTAGAGCAAACCCTATATATATAGAAATGTCCATAAAGTCCGCATGAGCTGGTCAGTTATTAGTGTCCTACAATGGGATTTTAGTAGTTACCTTCAACAGATAACAATATCGTTGAAAAGGCACGACGATGGTTGGGTACGCCTCTCACACAATAAAATTGCTTCAGTCTTTTACTCAACGATACCTTGCAATTATTATTGCTTGATCATTTTGAAAAGATTACAAGTTCTTCACCACTTACAAGCTATTTATAGTTGTAATCCATTCGAGAATAAAGCTGGTCTAACACATTTTCAGTTAATTTAAGCCTAATAAAACTTTCCACTTTCCAACAGATGTTTCTCTAAATAAAATAAAATATGTTTATTTAACCCGGGGCCATAAACATTTTTATTAATTGTATATAGACCTAATTGTGTCAATGCTGAGTAAGAGTCATATAAACCGAGATTCAATGCAAGTTAAATCTAATGTTATGAGACTCTGTTGTACAAAAATGATGCGAGAACCGATTGCGTGGTGCCAGAAAATTCGGACAAAAAAAATGTGTGTGCGTTCCGAACATGAATACAAATAAATTTGGAACACCAAGTGCCTTGGCTATTCAGCTAGGTAGTTTCTTTTAGACAAGGTCTGGCAAACAGTTGCATGCGCTCACGTATCCATAGGGTCATTACTGTGGGGATGCGACTATAAGTAATAGATAAAAGATCAAGGTGTTAGATGGTATATTACTCCATTTGGAGCCCACTAAAACTGGACAACCGCCATGCAGGGTTCTCGTGTCGCCTGTTCCATTACGATGCAAATTGTACCAGAAAAGGGCCGTTCCGCGCTTAGGGCTGACAGCCTGGTTAAGTATGGTGAACACTGTGGCGCCTCCTTGCTCCACATCAGTTAGCTGTGGATTGTAATAGAGAATAGCATAGATTTAAAAGCTCAAAGAGTTCAAGAACCTACGTAAAAAAGAACAGTGGCGATGCGATCGTCGGATTCTTTTATATCTACCTGAAAATGGAATCTTATGGTTAGGATTGTAGTAGTTATTAATTTGCACAAGCTCACAAAAGCGTTATTAAGGAAATCTTTATGAGCCGCATAGTGTCCACCTAAGCCGTAGTTCATTACTTGGAACGGCTCCGAGTATCGCAAGTCCAATTCGACCATATCCGTAATACGTCTTTCAATGCGCTTTGTCAGATTGTTATGGTCGCGTTCAATCCAAGCGCCTTTTGAGGTCCTCCTGCTGTCCTTTTCATACTTTTTAAACTTTACTACGGTTGTACGCTCTAACAGGGGTCTGGCGAGTTTCTGGAGCTCGTCGATTTCTCGGGGCGACAACACATCATGAAAGACTATTATAAAGGGATTAAGCAGACGAATTTCCATTTTTAACGGTGCCAAGAGGAGAAATGGCGAAGACCCGAATTTGTACACGCAATACAAATTGGATGTGACTACGAATTCACCACGACAACCCCTGCCGTAATTGGTTGCATCCACCTTGGGTGCCGTCTTAACCGAAACCTCTTCTCGGGCCATCTTCTCTATATCAAGTCTTCTATTCAGTATTGCGGGATCTCCCGTTTGCTTTCCTAACACCAGAGCGCGATCAAACAGTGACAGTGCAATCGAGTAATATTCTAGGTAAGAGAAACTAACAGATAGTTGTTTGTGTAACAGCATTAGATAATCCAGCACTCACTATAATTAAAAAACGCGCTGGCAAAAAAGTGCATCATTTTTTCAGGGTCGGCTCCAATTGGGGTTGGGAGCGTGTGCTCCATTAGCCAGCTGTGCGTTTCGGCGAACCACTCGCCGGCCAAATCTACAGTGTGGTGTTTGTGGTGCTCCTGCCCCAACACGTAGGTGTCGAGAGCATTAAGACCGACGCTGCAGGTGGTAATTTGTCGGGCATAGACTATTGACAGTGGCCTGTAGCTATTACTTACTCGTACTTCTTCCCGTTCAGCATGCCCGTGGACACGTCCTTTACCGTTAAGTTGTAGAACCTTTGTAATCGGTAAATAGCTATACAAGCCTCAATCAGGTCGACATTGGTTGGAAGCTGTGATTTCTGGCTACTAACATAAGCCACTTGCGATGAGCCCAGTGGATCCTCCATAAATAATATCCAATCGTTCCAATCTTGATTCATTCGGCGTATTAGCGAAAATCCATTTATTGGATTCGACACATATTGCTCCATTTGACCTATGGCCTTATTGCTTTCAGCTTGCAATTGTGGAACGGCCCTGATACATGTAAAACTGTAATTCTGATCTACTATATCCGATGTGTTGACTGACCTTTTCAAAATATTCAATTTCTTCTCGAGCTCATCCGCATAGCTGCTGAGATTCTCAATGAGCTTGGCCTCCAGCAGCACCAACTTCACCATACCCGCGACGGAGGTGCTGTGGCTCTGCTCCATTGCGGCCTTGGCCCTAATCGGACACTGGGTTAGAGCAATTGCAATATATAGAAATGTCCATACAGACGACCGCATTATGCTGTGCACTTTTTAGTGTAAGTCTTACAACATATTTTTTTTTTAGCTATATCAGGTAGTTATGCATTGACGAGTGCGTCAACTTAAGTTTCTCAAAATTCACCGCCAACTTTGCTCTGTTCTTATTTATAACATTTCTGAAGTTGAGTCAACTTCTGCTCAACGCAACGCGTTTGTTTATGTGTAGCTTACTTATCACGCCAAAAAATTCAATTTATTGCTCTTAAATCGTTTAAATAAAAAGCTTTGGGTCATATATCTTTAGCTTATTGATATCAGTTATTAGCTGGGAATTTTCAAATGTTGTTGTTTGCTGCGACGAAATCACGGATTCAAAAAGTGGCATAGTTCAGATAAGGCCTTATCACGTTTTATGTTTGTAATATTGGCTTAGTATACTTAAGACTGCATTTATTCTTCAACTTTTATATATATCGAGTGTATTCCTTGGATTTAAATCGTATGGGATTTTATATTTTGAGTATTGAGTTCTTAAAACACTTTGTTTTATTGATTGTTAAATCTTGTTAGCAAGTTGTCTGTCAGTTCCTTGTACATACATGCAAAATAGATTACGTACTTCGAGTAATACTATATAGAATAAATTTGAGAGACATAAATGTAAAAGATGGCTTAATTGTCCGACCTCAGCTAAGGCTAGGGGCTTGAGAGACATGGCCTCCTAAAAAGTTGCTGATGCTCACGTATCCATTTGTTACATACTGTGAAGTTGAGTTTTTATAAATATTTTGTATAATATTTGATGAATATTTGATGAGATAGTTACCCCACTTGGAACCAACTATAACTGGACAGGCGGCGTGCATCGTTTGTGGATCCCCGTTATTGTTATGCCTCAGATTGTACCACATAACTGCTGTTCCTTTTTTGGGAAATATAGCTTGTTTTATATTAGGAAACACCGTGGCGCCACCCTGTTCCACATCGCTTAGCTAAAGATGGGCATTAATCGTTTATTAACTTTAGCTAGGATAGAAATTTTGTGGCTACTCACATAGAAGAGGACAGTTGCAATGCGATCACCATTAAGTTTGGTCAAATCCTTGGCCTGGAAAAATTTTAAGATAGATTCAAATTAATTAATCTAGACATGCTCATATCTCGTATCTTTCACTCACAATGGTCGCATTGAAATAATCAAAGTGCAAGTCGTAATGTCCGCCAAGGCCGTAATTCATAACTTGCAACATCTCCGACCCATACAAATCAAATCCCGTCATATCCGATATGCGTCTATTTAGACGAACCGTGAGTGGATTTAGGGAATCTGTCAGCCAGGTCACCTTCGAGGTGCGCGTCTTGACGACAGTATTACGACCCATCTGCTGATTGAAGACCGTGGCGCGTTTCAGAGTGGGCACGGCCAGGTGTTGCAGTTCGCGAATCTCGCTGGGTGTTATCACATCGTGATAGAGTACCATGTAGGGGTCCAGTGCAAGCAATTCCGTTTTCAATGGGGCCAGCCGCAGAAAGGGCGAATTGGTGCTATTGTAGACGCAGTGCAGCTTGGACTGTGTGGGGAATTGGCCACGGCAGCCACGTTCATAGTTGCTAACTGGCTTCTTTTTGTACTGCAAAGGAAAACGAAAGTCTTTAACAATTGTTACTAATTTCACAGAGTGCACCTACTGGCTTGGGTGAAATATTAGGCGACGTTCTTATCAGAGTTTCGACTTCCATTTTTCGTTGCAAGAGTTTTAAATTATTTTTGTCAATTGTCGTAGCAATCTGGAGAACCTTTAGAGCATCGGCATATCTATCTGAAAGTGGCACAAAATTAATGAAACTTTAAATAAAATTTCCCAAATGTTATCTGGCACTCACTCATTTTGATAAGTGCCTCGGCATAAACATGCTGCACTTCAGCCCGATTCAAGCCCAGTGGCAAAGTCAGCTTATGCGGTCCATTTAGCCGGTTGATGGCCTGGTTGATCCACTGGCTGGCGTCGACAAAGCTCTGCTGATCATAGTGGTACTTGCCCAGGGCATAGGTGTCCAGCTCATTCAAGCTGGCACTAAGCAATTGCCGAGTGTGTAAATGAATAGAAACCAATTAATTAAAGAGTTCAGAGTGTATTTTTTTTTATCACGAAACGTGTAACGAGTCTGTAAAAAGACATGCCCGCATGTCGAAATTGAACGGATCGAAACACTATATTATATAGCTGACTTAGGAACAACCGAAAATTAAGTTCTTGGTTGAGTGACTAGTCCAATTTTTGCACTTACGAGACTTTCAATATTATTTACATCAGACCAAAATATAGCTTTATAGGAAGAATCGGCTGAGAAATTTATGTCTGTTTTTCAAGCAATTTTAAACACATCCGTTTCGCAATACTTTTTCCTAACATATAGGCAAAGTCGTATCAATCGGGTTCAATAGATAGAACTGGTTGGACATAAAGCTTTTATAGAAAAGCAGTTCTAAACCAATTTTCTACAAGGGTATTTAGTCTTCGGCGTGCCGAAGCTAACCATTCATGCTACGAACTTGTACTGTTTGCCATTAAGCAGACCCGCCGCCATGTCGGAGACCTGCAGGTCGTAGGTGGCCTGTATGCGATGTATGGCAGCGGCTGCCTCTTCGAGATCCGTGCTGCTAGGCAGCTGATGCCGTTTCAGATTAACGTAGTCCATTTGCCGTTTGCCCACTGGCTGCTCCATGTACAGCTGCAAGTGTGTCCAGTCCTCATGCATGCGTCGTATAAGGGAAAATGCGTTTAGCGGGTTAGACACATAATGTTCCGTGTGGCTCATGGCCTTGTTGCTTTCAGCCCGCATTTGTTCAACAAAACTGGGGGAAAACTGCAAGTTATAGTATCTCATATTCATATAAATAATCTGATAATCAACCTGCGCATTATATTGAGCTTCCCTTCGAGTTCAATCGCATAGTTGCTGAGATTCTCAATGAGCTTGTCCTCCAGCTGCAGCAGTCGCACCATTCCTGCCACCGAGGTGGAATGACTCTGTTCGCCATCCGCTTCTTGGCCGCTGGCCATGCCCAAGACCAGAAGGGCGGTTAGAAATCGGAGCTTCCATGCCGGCAAGTGCATTTCTTTGGCCATCTTGAGGTGCCTACGTGCCAGATCCAACTGTCAACTTTTTCGCACATTTGCCGTGAAGTTGACGTTGGCGCGAGATAAATGTTTAAAAATACTCGTAGATGGGCATTTACCGAACGTTTACCAAACAGTAGTAGATCGTGCTGCCGCTTGTTGTTATTATTCGCTTCCCCAATTGATAAGCGATTCAACGCTACTCGACGCTTTGATAGTGAAGCGCAACGGTTAATTAAAACCAGCAAGAAGTCAGTCACGCACAGTGGAACCCGTACCAAAAAACTCGTTAAAAATATGATGTGATTCAGTTGTATATTGCCAGTATGTAAAGTTGAAAAATCTTATTTGTATAAAGGTCGGCTTCTTAAAAAATTTAGTAAACGGGATGCATATAGAAATACCTGCTTAACAATCAAAAATAATCCAATGCCAAGTGACAGCAGGTATTTAAAAACATTGTTAAAAGTTACTTAACGGCTTTATTCTTAGAAATTATTTATTGGCAGCCATAGTTTTTAATATTAACAAAAAATAACAATTAATAAAATTATATATAAATTGATTAGGATTTATATAAAAAATATTAAGAAGGAATATTAAAAACTTAGTATATATATATTTACAAATAAAAACGATCGCAACTCGCATGTGTTAAATATTCCTCTTAAGCTTTTAAGAATATGTCAAATTTTATTTTTCGTTTTATTATAAACAAATTTCACAAATATTATCATAAAAGGGATACACGATAACTTGAAATATCAGGAATTTAAAAAAAATTAATATTTGAACTATTAACAAATAAAAATGATGCCATATTTTGCCATTATTATGGAATCTTACACCAGTAACTTTTTCCATGACAATGTTAAGTTCCACAGTGCGCTGGCAGCTTTTTTTGACCGGCAGCGTATTTTGCTTATGCAGCTTAACCATAACAATGGGCTTAGCACGTGTCCAAAACAAAACAAAACGGAATGAACGGAAATCTTCGGCACGCCGAAGATTTAATGCCCTTGTAAAAATTTTCTCCACAGCTCTGCAGATATGTATATGAATAATAAAAAAGCTCGTAAATGCTGAGTTTGATGTAAATAATTTGAAAAGCAGAATAATTTCATACAACAACGACGCTTCTACCTATAGAGCTATATGATACATTAGTGCGGTATTGATTAGATTTGGCTGATATATAAGCAGCACAGTTTGGTCTAGATATCTTGATCAACAAAACAGTTTTCCATATTCGACTGATGGTTCATATGGCAGATATATGCTGTAGTCAGATATGGCCAACACATGTGTAACCAACCTGTAACCGAAATACGAACGGTTGCAAATCTTTAAAACGATAACATTAAAACTGAGAGATTGTTCGCAAAAGAAACAGACAGACGGACAGACACACAGATGGACATGATTATTTCGTGAACTTGGCTGTTCATGCTGATTTAGAATATACTATATACTTTATGGGGTCGGAGATGTCTCCTTTTGTGTGTTACACATTTCATGACAAAACGATAATACCCTTTTCAAGAGCATACAAATAATCTTCAGTGATTCATAAGCTCATCTATACCCTACAAAAAAAGTAAATTTATTGATGCAATTGGTCAACTCTTATTATTCGACTTTACTTGGTAATGCAGACAGGTTATTCGTTTGGGAATTAAATGTAATCAAACAGTCCACATGTTACCTAAAAGGTGATTAAATTTTATTACTGTAAGAAAGGGTGAAAATATTTGTTGACCATAGCCACAAGTAGCTTGTGGTACTCGAACTGTTTGATGAATGACAGTTGACTTATTCAAACACTTGTCACGTCTAAAACAACAGATTAAATTGTAATTTTTTGTAAATTTTTGTAAGCCAGAAATTCTTCCCAAATTATCCGTTTTCCAAAGACATGGTTAGGGTGGGAACCATTATCACAGATCGGGATATACCCACATCGTCAACTACGTTGCGGCCGATCTCGTTTCTATTTTACACGCTGGAGACGATATTCAATATGTTTTGTTTGGCATATCACATAAAGGGATTTATGTCCGTTGATATGCATATGTTGACGTGGGATAGGCATATCTTTCAGTATATTTATCTGCTCACCTTCTACGTTTTCATGGTGATCACACTCTTTCAAAGCATTAACATTTGTTCAGGCCACATTCCCACAATTTGCATGGAAATCTTTAAATCCTGCTTAGCTTCGATTGGATTTACAATGATTTCCCTATTAACTATGTGGGATGCGGAACGCGACTTTCACTTGATGTATTGTGGCAAGGAGCCCGTGGATGGTGTCTACGAGAAGGAAACGCCCGTTCATCCGTTCGCTTTCTATATGCTCTTTCAATCGATTGCCTCATTGGCTTGTGGCGTTCTCTATATGCTACACGCAACCATTTTAATTGATGTCAAGATCACTGCTGCCCACCAGGGATTGACAGAAGGAGCAAACTCTTTGTTTGTGCCCATTCATATCTACGTCCTGGGCGAATACGTTCAGACCAGGCTCGAGCAATACGAATGGTTTCATGTCTTTTGCTCAAATAAACGCATTGAAATCTAGTTGCACCCGAGTCTGCAATGAAACATTAGCCCGGCTACAAATAAGCTTTTATAGTACGATATGTAATACACAGTCAATGTAATATGTCATTTAGATCTGATATATACAACTATTTGTCCTAACTAATTGAATGACCAGCTGATTTTTGTTTAAAGTAACGGAAAATTAGTGGAAAGCGGTTGCAAAAACCTTTTTGCATGTTGTCCGATCGGTGTCAAACTCAGTTTCACCATTTCCGGAATATCCACGTCGCTGACCGGAAACTGTGGTTAAATGTAGAATGGGTATTTCTTCACGCGCGGAAGATAGGTGAATAACTAAAGTATATAATTCTAAGAGAAAAACTTAGATATATTTCGTCTATTCCCGTGACCCGAAAAATTCCATCTCGTTCTACGATTTGCAACTTTTGATTTGCAGTTCTTCAATTAATATTTGATGATTTTATTAAAAGTTATTCCATATTTAAGCCCACTGGCACGCCCAGTGTGCAACCTCTGGAGAGGAATGTGACAATCTGTTATCTGCTTTAACCATGAATGATTTCATTGAAAGGCTTTGTGGAAAACCTAAAAACCTTTTTGTATACAAAATAGCTGCACACACACAAAGCAAGGCACCAGCCCCGCCCACTTGTTGGCAAAGGTATGACCAGAAAGGGCTTTAAATTTTGCACTTTTATGGCGGCGGCGGGGCTAGCAGCGGTTGTCATCCTGAAGCGGCATGTGTCCTGCCGTTGATATCGGCTTAACTTTGCCATAAAACTGTCAGCGTCACGCGTGTAGTGGGCAGAGCGCGGGGCGAGCGGGCGGTCAAATGAAATAAATTTTACAGCCAAATGGGCAGACTTTTGCCAAACAAAAAGGGCAAAACGCACACATACACAGAAAGAGATTTGTGTGGGCAAATGTCAGAGGCAAATCTAATGCGGACAACAAAAGCACCTGTGACCTGGAAAATGTCTCGTGGTGGCCATCTCGCAGCTGGCCAGATTTAAGCCGAAAGCTGTTGACCGCCAGCACTTAAAGCCAGTCGTTCGTCTGGGCCAAGTGCAAATGTTTACGTTAAGTCACTTCAAATCCCCCGCCCGATGCTCATCAATTAAGTGTCATCAATCATCTGCGAGCAGTCCAAAAAGTGGATCGAAATAAGCGACAACAACTGCGATATGGACGACGACGGGCAAACATGTCACGGTACAAAATGTCGTTTAACCTAAAATGGGAAAAGCCACGAAGATTATTTATTTTAGTCTCAGACATCGATTAGACGTCATATGCTGTGTTCTCAGAAACGTAAAGTAAAAGTAAATTGTACAGTTGCGAAAAATGTAAGAGGTTTAAAAATTCTAAATTTCTAAATTCTAAATTCTAAAAATTCCATGGCAAAGTTTACTTTATGGATATTATTTAATTTGTAGTTTATATAATATTATTCATAAATTAAACCTTACTATGGATTTTAAAAATAAGAAAAAGTTCACAATCTAAATGGGAATGTTGTTTAGCTTTCCCTTTTTCAGTCTATTTATACATCAAATAGCCCCGATGAGGTCTTGTATTCAAACAAGGCGTTATACTATTGCAATCGCTGGAATCTGGAACACCCTTTCGAACATGATATTGAATGGGAGTGGGTCCATTTTTCGGCAGTGTGCAAACATTGTACACCTAAACACACAAAAATTGGCCCTGCACCACTTGGAGCAGATAATTTCGGATCAGTAAAACGTTGGTTGTAGGCGCAGCACCACCTTATTTCGAGGGCATATCAATTTCAATCAATGCTCAGCATTTTAGTTTTATTTTTTTCTAGCCAGTTGATGACCCACTCGCAGCTCTGTTCGTTGCCATAAAACTAAAGCGCTAAAGTTACGGGTTTTTTTTTGGGGCAGTTGAAACTTTAGTTGGTTTATGGGCTCGTTGGAAAATTCAAATCAAGTGGAAATGCGAACACTTCACGAACGACTTGTAAGACAAAGCCATTAATGGCGCCTGGCGCTGGCCGGGTGAATCTTTATGCGACAATCTTCGCATTAGAAATCAATGGTGAGCGTTGCAGTTATGATTATTGCAGTTGTCAAAAGTTGTGCGTGTGTGTGTGGGTGTGTAGGTGGCTTGTCTCTAAGCATAATGGGCTGTCCTGCTTGTCCTGGTTTGCTGGCTAGGTTTATGCAAATGCGAAGCGCCTTAACGCTGGCAAACAGACGGCCAAGTAAATGTGGCCAAGGCTCGCTAAAAAATGCTTATGACTTGTGTAAACAATTTTCCATTCGCAAGTCCAGCTCCAAGCCCCGAGACGCTGTGCTCCTTTTACGTGTAGGTATATGCCAGCTGAGGCGGGCAGCAGCGATTGTATCCTGTAGCTGGATCTGCAGCTGGTGTATAAAAATATTTTATGGACAAAAGTAACTTTGTGTCTTGGACGATAAGCGAAGTTTGCGTATGTGACTTCCGTTTGTCCTCGCATGTCCTTGCGCACATGTGCTCTGTGTGCTCAGTGTGTCCTGTGTATCCTGTCTGCGCTGTTTGCCTTCGCACAATTTTTATGCATTTTCTTAGCGGCCATTTTTATGCCCGCACACGTTTTCCATTAGACGTCAACGGCTGTCATTTCCGCTTTTGCCTGTTTGATTTTCGCCAATGAACACTCAAAGGATATTTTCCCGGCGACCCGCTGCCGCCGCCAGTTTAATTGAAACTGGGTCACTTCGGTGTCATCCATTAATCACATTCGCCTGACACTCGCTCAATTTGCATTCGCATTTAAGACAATTATCATGTTTCAACAATTATTCTTTGTTAAGCGAAAGTTCTTCCTTTCTAATTTGAAACGGTGAAGGCGGCATTAATCTTCATAAGGTTGACAACTTCATTAGAATAGGCAAAAACAAACACGGCATTGATTTGCGCGACTGAGTTTAGCAAACTTGCCCCAGCACCTCCGCCTCTACGCCATCCATTCACCCCGGCCCTGCAGTGCTAATTAAAAATGTAACACACACAACTTAAACCGCTTGCAATTTATCAAAGGCATAAAACGAAGTGAGTTTTTTTATGCCGCGGATATCATTTTTTAGCAAGGCGCTGAAGCGCGGCGCGTATAATGCGCATAATTTCTATGCCACGTTGGTCACCCGAAAAGTAAATGTAGACACTGCCAGCCATTCGGACGGACGGAGTTAGCCGAGGAGGCAGCGGCCGACCTTTGTGCCAGCGGCAGCCACAACAACAAGGGGCACAAACATGGCGTCAGTTTTTTGGCAATGAGCGGGCCCGTGGCTCGTGCGTCTGGTTGTGGGCACACGAACAAAAGAGGTACACGCGAAAATAAAACCTATTACCGGAATCATAATTATCTTTTATGGCCGCGTCTGTCATGACGACATTATGGCCAGCACGGCGCGGCCTGCTGCCCCGCCAGCCGTGATCCGCGCCAAACACGTAGCAATAAAAAACCGCGAAATGCGGCCAAGTAGCAAAAAACATAAATTACGCACACACACATTTACATTTGCTGGAGAGGAATGGCGAGAGGGTAGGCGACACCCCAATACAAATTATGTGTACTATTGCGCTTATTATACTCGCTCACAGAGTGAAGAGAGTATATTCCTCTTAAATAAATATTTGGCATACAAGTGAAGGCTCGCTAAACAGACGGCCCCCATAACCGGACACCTGCCATAACCTGCAAAATGGAAAGTTTTTTTATAATTTATCCCTACAATATGCATTCGCCAAATTTCGATTCACGTTTAGAATGTGAACGAGTATAACCTAGTCGGGTGCATCCGACGGCGACATTTTAGCTTGTTTTCATTACGCGTTTGCTTATAGGTTAGAAGAGTGTGGTGTTTGTTGGGGGAAAGGGGCCAGACATCTGCCGGCAGCGTCGCCAAAACAGGTGTTTTCTAATTTATTGAAACACCCCAGCAAAGGCTGGACTCCGTCGCCGTTATTGTTGTTGTTGTTGCTGTTCTAGTTGTTCTGGCTGTTATTGTTGGGTTTGCCTTGAGTTATTAAAAGTGCGGTGAGCTGGGGGAGTGGGGGCTGCATGGGCATTGTCAGCGCCTGTCTGCGGCCTGGCAGACAAATCAAAGTGCCCCCGCGACACTTGTCATGTGCTTTTTAATTTCTAATATTTCACGCGCATTATCAACCAGCCCCAGCTCCAGTCGCAGCGCCAGCCCCAAACCCCATGCGCTGCAACTACTGCCTGATAAGCGCAGGGCTGCTGGTGGGGGCGTGGTCGGGTGGCGCAGCTATTGTTGTGCACTTGCTGCAAATTATGCGAGACACGTTGCAGAGGGTCTGTTTTCATTTGCCGGCGAGGTGTGTGCCTGAGGTGCTGCCAAGCGACACACACACACTAACAGTATATCAGCAGCTGTGAGCGTGGGCTACGTGTGATAATTCAGCGCGCCAGCAAAAGTTTTTCTAAAATTGCCCAAGGCCAAGTGTGTGGCATGCCCCTTGCCTGGTTGCGCCTGTCTCCAACAAAAAGCGCAATGCACGTGCGGCCTTTGTTCCTGCTCCTGTTGTTGCTGTTGTTGTTGTTGTAATTGCCGCCGCTGCCTGTTGACAGGACACTTCAACTATTGTTGTTTGCGCTGCTCCACTCCAACCTCCTGCCCCCTCTGCCCTGTTTAATTCAGCATGAAATTGGTTTGTATTATTATTTTGCAGTCGTCGCTCGTCTCGTTGCCAGCGGCGCTTCGGCAACACCTCAAAACTGAAAGCTGTCAGCTCCAGTGGCTTAAAGCTTTAAACGTGCCACAAATCGAAGTGCAACAACAACAAAATAAAAATGATGTAAAAAGAATTCTACAGCAAAGTTTGCTTTGATGCAGAGCGCTGCTTTAATTAAAAACTGCGCGCACTGAGTAACTAGCACTTGATTAATTTTTGGTTGCACGCAAAAGTAACGCGAAAAAAAGCCACACACACACGCACTCACACACACCAGACCACGCAGCAGCAAACAGCAACAAATTGCTGGCCAGTTGCTGGGCGGCTAGAATAAAAAGAGTAGGACAAGAAAGAATGGCTATCTTTGGCACGCTGACGACTAAATACTCTTGCAGACTTGAGGCCAAGAATACTAAAGCTATATTTAATATAATC